GCCAAAGCCAAAGCACATAAAGGGAAGTCTAGGGCGAAGGGGAAGCAACTGGTGCTGAGGCCATACCAAGAATTGTGTGTGAATAGCTGCTTAATAGAAGCTCATAATGGCAAGAGGCGGCAGGTGAGTGCATAACCGCTACGGCAATTGACAGACATGTGTAGTCAAAAACATGTATCTGATGAGCATCAAGAGGAGTCTTCGTTACAATCCGGTATTCGCACATGCATAGTTACATGTATGTATAATTTAATCGTCAGACTATGACATCATACAAATTTATTAAGTGTGTGTTCCACCTAAACTCACACTCGTTTATGCATTTATATATATGTATAGCTACGATGAGCATGCAGTACCTTTAGGTCTGTATACAGATTTGAAATTCTGTATACAGACTTTAAAATTGGAACAATCAAGTGCAGTTTTCCTACATCTGTGTATGTTACACTCTTCATAAATGTATTGGACTCCTACTTATTTACGCAAGTGGTCTCGCATATGCATGTCCTAAAGTATGCCGTGCGATTAAAACGACGTCCTTGTATGATTTTCTGCACGGTACCGTGTTCACGCATTCTGGTGTGGTCAATTCGACCTCTTGTATCATCTCAAACCGTTAGATTCGTTCTTCCATCTCCCGCCAATCATTGCAGGTTGTTTCCTTGCCTGTCGGCAGCGGGAAAACAGTCATCATGTCACAATTCCTGTCACAATTGCCTCCGCCCGCCCATAAGCCCAGGGCCACACGCGTGCTCGTTCTTGCTCACAGGGAGGAGCTTATCGCTCAAGCGGCGGCGAGGATTCGCGATGATCATCCACATCTATTAGTCGATGTAGAGATAGGGAAGAGTATATCACATCCGGATGCAGATGTGGTTGTTGGTATGTACGTATGTAACATCTGTTGGTGGGTGTAGAGATAAGGAAGAGTACATCACATCCGGATGTAGGTGTGGTTGTTAGTATGTACGTATGTAACATCTGTTGGTGGGTGGAGAGATAGGGAAGAGTACATAACATCCGGATGCAGGTGTGGTTGTTAGTATGTACGTATGTAACATCTGTTGGTGGATGTAGAGATAGGGAAGAATGTATCACATTTGGATGCAGATGTAGTTGTTGGTATGTACGTATGTAACATCTGTTGGTGGGTGTAGAGATAAGGAAGAGTACATCGCATCCGGATGCAGGTGTATTTGTTAGTATGTACGTATGTTGTATCTGTTGGTGGATGTAGAGATAAGGAAGAGTACATCACATCCGGATGCAGGTCCAGATATTGAATGATCGACATAGATTGTTGTTGATGGAAGGTATATATATAGTTCATGTATGGTGTATCAGAGGAAATCACATATCTCACTACATGATATATGGTCTTTTAAAGAATGAAGTTGGGTACTCCGTACTGATCTGTGCATACAATCCATTGAATATATGCATACATTCATGAACATACATTTTGCGCGATTTTTCCATAAATGTCCTGTTCTATACGCTTTCCTAGTATATGCATGTATTGACCGATGAATGAATATGTATAAAAGGGAACATTAGCGGTTCAGGTTCTCAAGTACAAAAATACGACACCACACGAGACCAAAGCATCTACGAATGCTATTCTACAAATGCTTTTAAGTATGAGCATGTAGTCAGTATCCCTGCACCAACATCACCCACACCAACATCGCTTGATCGTACTGTTGCTTACCTCCAGGAAGCACACAAAGTTTGGGGCGAAATGAGAGCAAACGACTGGAACGCTTCAATCCTGAAGATTTCAAATTGGTGATAATAGACGAAGCCCACCATGCTGCCAGCGATACATATACACGCATTGTCGACCACTTCGGAGCACGCGATGAGGATTCTCACGTCCATGTAAGCTATATATGCATTCAAATACATATACATGTACTTATATACAAGTATATATATATATATATATATATATATATATATATATATATATAATTATACTACTACTATATATATATATATATAGTATATATA